GCTCACTGCGTGGATGTGAAAGGACCCAGCTATAACGGGAGTGCACGCCCGTCCCCTCACAATTTTTTGGGAGGAGCATTCCCAGCCTCACGCGTCCAACAGCGTCCGCGACAGCCCGACCAGGACAGCACGCAACGATCGCGAGACAGCCGGCTCCGTTGAGGCCGACGGGCCGGTCCGGGCCGCCGGTCGCCGAGCACCCACGCGGGCGGCCGCGGCGAGCTCGTAAACCAGCGGCGCCCGGCGGCGGCGGCGGCGCGGCGGCGGCGGTGGCGGCGGCGGGCACAGCTGGCGCGATGACGCCGCGGCGGCGGGCCCGGCGGAGACGGGCCGGCCGCCGCGCCGCTCTGCGACGGGTTCGATACCGCGAGACGCGGCGGCCGGCGCGGTGCGGCCAGGTGCGGCGTCACGGCACCGGCCGGCCGGCTGCCTGCCGCAGACCAACGGGCGCCGCACCGGCCCGCCCGCTCTGGCGGTACCACCAGTCCTGCCGCCGCCGGCCCGCGCCCGGGGTGGGAGGACCCGGGCGCGCGGTCCGCAAATGTTCAGGGTGAGCGATGGCTCGTAAAGCCGACTGCAATATCGTCACCGAGCCTCGGTCTTCTGCAGATACAAACGACCGCCTATTTACCAGCACGGGTTTCATGAGCACCACTCCACAACCGACGATACTTCAAAAGCTGAGTTATTCGAGAGGCTCGTATGAAGACGTCAATTTATCCGCCATAAACAGAAAAGGGAGCGGAGACCATCGAGCGCCATATTATAATGAAGCAACCCGTCACAAAAACGCCCAGCTACGACTCTCGGCCCCTCCACTCCCACCAACCACCAGGCTCGGTAAGCATGACATGTGCATGCACAGGCAGCACCTTACGGGCCGGGAGCCTCAGGCTGCGGGGGAGGGGTAACCCTCGGCAACGGCTCGCCTGTCTCATCACCGCGGCCTTGGGAGCAGCGATTAAAAAGCGGCCCGACTCCTCGGCGGATACACGCTCTGGCCGGCCGGCAGCCGAGGCGGTGACCACTGACCCCATGCTAGCCACTGTACGGGCGTGCACCGGTCCCGGCGAAGACGCTGCCGGCGGCCGGCTATAATTAGCCGACGGTGACGAGCGGCCGCCGGCGGGCGCACCGGCCGTCACCGGTCACCGACTGACCCGGCCAGGTCATCGGGTCGGCACCAGTGGCGGCGGCGACAGCGGCGGCAGCGGCGGCAGCGGCCGGTCAGCGCGCGGCGACCGCAGATGCGGGCAGGCGGTGCCGTCACGGATCGATACCCCCTCCCGGCGGCGGCCGGCCTCCGGCGCCCAGCCCGCCCGCCATCAGCCGTCCATGTCGCCGGCCACGCACCGAGCGCGCGGGGCGGGGCGCCGGCGGTGCTCGGCCCACGGCTCCGGCCGCCGCCGCCGCCGGCGCTCGGCGGCCGCGAGCGAGACCGGGACGGACCGGGACCAACGCCTGTCGGGGGCGCGCGCGCTCGCCGACCGGCCGGCGTTGCAGCGCGGACACGAGCCGGATCGCGGGTCATTCACCCTGCGTGCGCCATCTTCGGCTGCGGACCCTGTCGTGGCAGCCCGCTTTTGAGCTACGTTCCTCGGACTGCGGGAACAACGAAGACTAGCCGGATCGAGTGTCGTTCACATCAATTATATCAATGATAACGACAAGAGATAAGCTGTCTGAAGAGAACCGCACGCCAGGACAGCCGTTGCACATACTTGCTGCTACCAAATTTTGCCTGCACATAACAAACAAATTACCAATGTTATACACACCGCAACGGTCTCATTCCAATGGTCCAGCGGATGGACGCCTGATGCGCGGGACGAATGACAGCCGCCATGTACTCGCGACCTATGGACGACAGTACTTGTCCGATAAGGAAAGATAGTAGCTTTACCAATATGCATCCAACAAGCTTCTCTAGGCGCGAACTCTGGTCTCAGCTCTCATCTTGCAATGGTTTGAGCTTAAATGTGCATATGCGTGTGAACTACAAACTAAACCCTTCCGTACAAACACGGCAACAACTCCATACAGTTCACGATAGACTACTATTACCACATGAATTTGGCGTCGGAAAAACTTACCGCCTACCAGTGGGACATTTGTGTGCAATATCGTGCAACTGTGCCGCAAAAGAACCCAATTTTCATAACATTGCAAAATATTCAGAAACGTATAAAGCAAGTACGCCTGATTAGCCGGTTTGGACACAGCAGATGATTCCAGGCATAACTAGCTCTACATCAGTACACAGGGTCTCAAGACATGTCTTCCACCAATATTTGGGGGCCAGGCTGTGCATAGCAATGACGCCCATCAGTGGCGCTTAACATGATTGCCACCTTCACCCCCACATGCCATCAATATAATCGAGTCACATTTGCATGAGACGAAACCCTGCCCAATTATTCACAGGCAAGGGATTGAAACCTGTATGAAATGCCGCATTTTGTACAACACCATGATCTCAGCAGACAACACTTCACTGTCAAGCCCAATGCCAAGTCGGGCAGCATACAAGTTATAGTTATGATGAACACAGCGGCTTGTCAGCCTGTCTTCGAACACCACAATGAGCGAGCCCTACCGAGTCACGCATCCGAATCAAACCTTCACACGGTCCGCTACTTGAACCTTTTTTAAATACTAGGAGTCAAACCACCAGCACCGCGCTCCGTTGACCCGCTCTGTGTCACAGCTCGGAAGCCAGCGTGTCGTGTCATACCGACACTCAGCGTGCGCGCCATGTCGTGATCTCGTGAGTGGAGTCATGTTGAACGTGATAGGCGACGCAAGCCGTGAAAACGGCAGCTGTTACTAACGCGGTGGCAGAACGCCAATCGTGCCCGAATGATTCCTGTGCAATGGTGAACCCTGCACGTCGTCTCGACTGCAATCAACGTGTCGCTTATGATATGGCGAGTATCCAATGCTCATGGATTTGCTGAGCAAATATAGCGATCAAGCAGTCCGCCGTTCCCAGGGAGGCTATCGGTCCAAGCAAAGCGTGAAGATAGCGGACGCACCGCTGTCCGGCCGTCCGACTGTGACAGACGGCAACAGGCCCACAGCACCTAGTTGTAGAGATCGACTACTGATCTGTCTTTTGAAATATCACTGGTAGAAAAGAAGGCCAAACAATGCGGCGACAAAAGTCGGCAAAAGCAACCCACGAATTAGGTCCCTGTTTTGAAGAAGTTGTGAGTTCCCATGCGGAGAATACCTGCCACCAGTACACCGCGGGTACCTGATAAAATTACCACATAAATTAATCATTAGAATACGCCATTAAAACCCATGAGATGTCCAGCAGCATTCATGGCCACGAGGGTGAGACCTCACAGTACAGCGAAAGGCCGTTAATAATATGTGTAACGGAAAGACCACACATGATCCCCCCCCCCCCCCCCCGGTGTGATACATAATCACACGGTTATCAGACCAACAATCACACACACATCCCTAACACTTACATCGAATCAACAGCGCTGGGCTCGAGCCGAGGCACGTGCCATTCTTATTGAGATTTATGCCGCGGGAACATCGGATCGAATCCACACACGTTTTGCTGACCGCATGACAGTGCACCGCTCGCACTCCCATGTCAACATGCTACCTTCGAGGACACATGCTTAAAGGGTTCTTCCTTGCTGGTATGGTATCAATGTCATGACATCACCACTAATATGGACAAAAAGACAATATATAACTCCACCATCTGGTTTTTGTTCTTTTCTATGTCCTATGCCTAGGTACCTATAATACATATTTATCAACAAAATTGACTGTCATGAATGATGTATCATGCTTTAGGTCAAACCAAACAGATGTCCTCAAATTATGGAAAGACTTAATTCCAATGATGACCCTTCAATTCAATGTACATCAATTTCTAGGTCATGTAGCATTCATTTCTAACCTCCCATGGAACATGAATCTATTGGGCAGCCCATCATAGGCAGTTACTACTCATAATAGTCAATCAACTGTTAGCCCCAGCACTCAATTTGCACACACCTATCATGAAGTTGTGTCTGCACGACTTTAAAATGGGGGGAGCCAACATTTGTGCTGGAAACCCCATGTTAGGGCACTGCAGGTATGCAAAATGTTTTGTGTGGCATGAAACATAACATGTTTACAATCTAGTTCTTACAAAGTGTATATTGGATTCTCTGACTTTCAACATTCACTTCCAAGCATATCAAAACATGCAAATATTTCATACTGGGGAGGAAGACAGCCAGCAAACCTCCTAAATACACTCATGCACCATGTCACAATGAGTAAGGTCATAGGTCATTCTCATAGGATGAGAATAAGGAGTCAGTAACATAGACAGCAGGGCAGACTTTAATTTGAGTGACCAAGCCCAATCAGGCACCTTTTCACTACCTCCATGATCATGAAGATCTTTCCAAAAATGCTATGCAATACAGGTCCATACAGCTTTCAAGAATGATTTTGGGTTTGGTTCCATTGTGTTGTTAATTGCATTTTTCCAAAGCTTTACAGACAACATTATCACCAGCCAAGCCCTTCATGCAACATTGCAGAAGCAACAAAATGTAACCCACCTCATCCAAATAAATGCAGAAAAATATTACCAAAGGTGGAACTTAATGGCATTTCATCCATTTCATGTACCAATTACAAGGCATGGACCAGGTAAGCCCTTGTATTTTTGAGCAATGTGTGCAACAACCATGCAAGCCCAGCTCAGTGAGCTTCTGCACCAAACTACCACACTCTTGAAAAGTCAGCAAAAACAAAGCTTTGAAAAACCATCCCTTTTCATGTTTTGATAACACTGAAAAATACTAGTCAACAGCACTATCTTGTGTGCCTCATGCTATAGGAAGGGTACTGCTGGTTGTACACATATGACATGCACAAAACAGCCAATTGCTTTTGAAGCTCATAAATGCCCCAGCACACAATGCTGTGCCAGCATACCCAATTATCACAGCTCAAAGCAATGCACCACTTACTCTGATGCTTGTCAGCTAATGAGATGAGGGATGAGGAGATGTCTCTCCTCCTGTAGAAGCACATCACCTTAGCCTCCACATTGCCACTTAAAGTCTGAAACATACCAAAAACATATCAACACATCTGACTGTATCACAGGTAGCGTCAAGTGCAAAAATGAAACTTACATGAAGTGGTACAAATAACACTAAGCAACTCAATCATTAAGTGACACATCAAGCATAACACCAGAAGACTACCTTTCATAATGACCAACATGATGTCAAAGCGCAAAGAGCACAAGACACATTGATAACGCAGCAAACGTAAAGCAATTATTGACAGAAAACTGCATGACAGGCTTTGAGAGTAATTACTGATTTCATCAGTATTCATTCTTTCAAGTACAACCAAGACAATATTAGCATCATGACATGAGTATTCTAGTTACCTTATTTAGTTCCTCAATCCTACGAATCTGGTAGGGAGAGGTGGAGGATGTCTCAAAAAAGACATAGTCTGAAACAAAAACAAAAACAGAGTCAATCAGAAACAAAATATTGTTTAGCGACATTGACTCACTTTGAAAGCACTTGCAAAATGCAGATATGGCACACCCTTTGGCTCACTTAAATCATTCACCCCATGCTGATGTGCACAAACATCCAAAAGCAGCATAACTTGACACACATGATAGTAATTTGTCCTAACTCTGCCCAAACTGTAGACCAGCACTTATTCATAATGCATTTTTTGGTTATCCTTTAGGCAGGTAGAATAACCCCACATGGTGGCATTAAGCCACTACTAGATGACAATAAAAAGTGGCAATAAACAAATATCAAGGCAAGAAACTTACAGACCAGCTCAAAAACTACAAGCCCTTAATTGATTCCAAACAGTTTTCAAGGAACATATTTTCTACACTGTAGGCATGTGAGTAAAAACTAACACTGACATAAGCTTGACACCTGCAGATTCTAGTTATACTAACAAAATGGCATACAACCATTCTGGCTCACTCAGACCTTCAAGCACCAATTTCAAATCATGTCCATGTGGCAATATCACATGGGAATCACATCAAACACTGCATTGTGACATTAGCAAAATATACCAACTAGTCTTCTTTATGAATGGAAACATCACATCAACCTGAGATTCAAGCCCATTTGCAAGAGCACAAATTGCATTGACAGAGCACTGGAACATGAAAACCTGCAGCTTTGAACCTTTGACATGACTGAGCATGAAATTGTGCACATCACCTATTCAAGACATTAAGCTTTGAATACCTATGAGTCGAGGAAGCCAGAGAAACGCAAGCCAGTGGAAAACAGAGATATAACCAACTGGTGCTGTGTTTCATATTTGCAAATAAGGTTCTGCCTTGGGTCCCAGCCAGTGTTTTTATTTGAGCAACAAACAATAATATTATGTTTTGGGCTTCATCTGATCTTTTATTTGAGCAGCAGCCAAAACAAATAATGTAGTTTGCTGCTATCCTATATAACATGAATACATATGCAAAATGACCTGAACCACTAAAACACACACTCGTGCAAATACCATCTTTCCACACTAGCATGTATCAGGTATCATACACATTCAAATTGCAACATATTAGTTGAGGCTGCTACTTAAAGTGTAATTACAATTGTTATTCATTTACCTGTGCTAAAATAGCTGACAGTGTGATCAGTCAAGCAGAACGATCACAGTCTGCATGCTAAAATGTGGCTTGAATGATATCAAGTGATTACATCACTTGGAAACACACCCTGCTTCATAGCTGAGGTGTAAATTTACTAAGAAATATCCTTATCTTTTTAACTATATCTGCGCCACGAATGTCTCAATGCAACAGAGCCGGTTGCATGTACGCGTTCTGGTCAAAAGCTAGCTTTAATATTGATATGCTTACATATTCGCCCGATAATTTAATTCCTTCGCGCATCATGACCATGCAGTTGTGCCGGTCTATCCTCATCCATTTCCCCATCAGCCGGCACATTCAGCAACCCACGCTCCGCAGAACAAACAAAACAAGCTGCTCCCCTCAAAACTCACCTCCAACCCTATACATGTTCGCAGCCATTGCATCTAGATTCCTAAACGGAAGAACAACACTTTACAAGCATCTTCAATGCTTCTTCATGGTCACAACACTCCAAATGTCCGCGATACTCGATAATTAATATGGATCACAGCATCCGCATCACCACCAACTTCGCCATTTTCTGTGTTTCCTACTCATTTACAAAACTCCGTGACGTCACAAGCCCCGAGGCGTTCATCGGACGGGTGGCAGAACGGGTAATGATCCCCTCTTCAAAAGATCTAGGTTTGTTGGATCACTCGCACGCAGCTGAAGCGGCCGCAATCGGCGAATGGAGTGAGTTTTATCCCGGTGCGTCCACCACGCCAACGGCCATTTTATGACATGGTGCGTAACGGCAATCAGCCATGCAATTGAATCCAGGTGGCGCCCCCTGACGACTCTGCTGGGAAGGGAGGACCGGACGAATGTTGTACTGATGTATTTGCGATCAGGTGAATATTTACATGTATCCAAGTACAAAACACGACCGTGGAGATTTGCACTGTGAATATCTGGTAGCAAAATAAATACGAAATGTCATTTGTCTATTTGTTTGATGCATCTAGTTACAATGTTTCGTTGGCACGGGTGCTTATGATAACGTCGAGCTGTACTGTGCGGAAGTACGTCGAGCGACAACGAATCCGTTGAAGGCACTGGCGACGGCGGGTGCGAGGAGCACCGGCACTGGGGCGGCATCTGTTGGTCCGAGGTGTTCCAGTGCGCAACGAACTTGTCGAACACAATGACAGCAAGCTCGATTGCTGCGATGATAAAACAATACATATTTACCGAATGTGTCACATGGATAATTGCAACACGACAGACAACCGGCGCTCAACCGCAACAAAACAGAACACTAAACAACACAGCGAGAGCGTCGCAACTTCATGAGCAACAAAGCATAAAATTACATCTATCAAAACCGGGCGGCCGTTTGCCGGCCACGGCCGCGTCGAGCCCGCCGGGCCCTGGTTCGCCTTGTCCGCGGGCGTACTGGTCGGAGGCCTTGATTGTCCAAACATATCACATACAGAGACAGTAGCTGAGATCTTGCCGAGCCAGTCGGAGGGGTCGCCAGCGGAGCTGCCGGCTTGCCCGGCGCGAGGCGTCGTTCGCCCGGCCCGTGTCACGGATGGCGCCCGTGACCGCCGGCGGCCCGCGCGGGGGCCGGGCGCGGGCCCGGCACCCGGCGTCCCGCGTTCAGGTGGCAGCTCCGGGGCCGGGCGAGCCTCCATCGGCCCGCCGATACGGACCGCGCAGCTTAGCCGGCGCCGGCTGGACCGACAGGCCGCGCGAGGAAGAACAGAGAACAACCAACCAATCAAAAGCCAAGACCGTATTGCTTCCGGCCGCTCCCGAGGCCGGCCTCCGCTCCGCTCGGCACGACCGGGAGGCCCCGCGAGGCCCCAGCCACGTCCAGGGGCGACATCTGCAGTGGCGCCGGCTCCGACCAGGCCCGCAGCCCGATGGCGCGCCGTCAGATAGCACGCTCGGTGGCAAGCGGGGCGCCGTGGAGGAGGCGACCACCAGCCGGGTGGACGGCGAGCGACCGGCGGGGCGACGCTACCGGCGCGACAGGTTCAGCGGCATGTCTGCAACGGCGACACAACAGCGCGGTCAGCATGGCGGCCGGCAGGGCGACGCTACCGGCGCGACAAGTTCAGCGGCATGTCTGCAACGGCGGCACAACACCGCGGTCAGTATGGCGGCCGGCAGGGCGACGCTACCGGCGCGACAGGTTCAGCGGCATGTCTGCAAAGGCGGCACAACACCGCGGTCAGTATGGCGGCCGGCAGGGCGACGCTACCGGCGCGACAGGTTCAGCGGCATGTCTGCAAAGGCGGCACAACACCGCGGTCAGTATGGCGGCCGGCAGGGCGACGCTACCGGCGCGACAGGTTCAGCGGCATGTCTGCAAAGGCGGCACAACAGCGCGGTCAGTATGGCGGCCGGCAGGGCGACACTACCGGCGCGACAAGTTCAGCGGCATATCTGCAACGGCGGCACAACAGCGCGGTCAGCAGGGCGGCCGGCGCGGCATGACGCCGCCGCAGGAGCTCGACAGCACCCGGCCAAGACTGGGCGCCGTCGTGCCCCGCAGCCTGCAAGCGGGTGGTGTAAGAGGAGCATTATTAGCTCAGATAAAAGTGCGTGGTGTGCCCGAATCCATTCCAAATGGAGGCCACACATTATTTCCATTGTCGATGTTACTGACCCACACTCTTCATACCCGGACCCAGGAGCCCGCCGTTGCAAGATCGATTCAAACATGAGCGGGTACAACAGTGATACCGATAGGTATGTCAGTAATTACGACCACCAAATTGGCAATCATGATCACCCTCAAGGAGAATGTGTCGCCTATGCGCGAATGTATCCAACCCTAGGTACTGCAATCTGTGGCCCGGCGTAATCAATGGCCTGCGGCGCTTTCCTGGTGCGTCGGGAGACGAGCCCGACCATGTGGGGCCAAACCAGCGGGACGGTATGATAGCCGCTGCCGCCGGGGGTCATGTGAGGTCAAAGGAGAGGGGGAGGGGCCGATGACCTCTCCGTCCTACCCTCCCACCGGCAACACCTCCGGGACCAAGTGCTCGACACTGAATGCGATAACGATGTCTATTTTCAACATTTGTCCCTGTCAGGAGAGGTACCGGCATTGTAATATCAAAAGAGCAGCATAATTTACAATGTCCTGGTGTTCAAAGCGCAACATGCCGTATGTGCCTTTCGTCGAGCTGTTTTGGTTGTTCATTTTCAAACCATATGACAGAGAGACCTACACTGGAAAAAAACCAACGGAGACATCCACAGCGGCGTGAGAGCCGCATTTCAAAAACACAATTATGTTCATACATCGTTGAATTTATGATGTTCCTTATCAACACTGCATGTAAAATGCTGTCAAATATCACGTTCAGGGTTGCCATTTTACATGAGGGTAAAAAGAAGCTGCTCAATCACCATTACTTTGTAATAACAACGTATCTGTTCACAGCAAACCGATACAACAGCATGACCAAAAGACGTGGCGTTAGAATTACCACGATACATAACCTACCACGTGACCCTGCGTCCTTTGATCACCGCCCATGTAGCGCACGACAAATTTCTTCTACAATCAGATGAAATGTGTTGCCACTCAGAGGTACGCATTAATCACCTAGCAGCTAGAACAGGTGTACAACACCATGCCCGCAAAATCAGACGAGCATGGGCATATTAACTTCAAGTCAGTGGCTGCAAGCTAATGTTTCAAATCTTGTACGCAAATATAGTATGGTTCGCATTAAAAACTCATGCTACATTGCTGGCCCCACGATGCGCATTTATTCCGTACAATAATGCAGTAAGAAACTGGATTGTGCCTTTTGATCGAGGCCTGGCAATTCGAGCACGGCCTGGTCGGGTCTGGGGCTGGTTGGTCATTCGGCTGTTGGTCTTAGTTCACCGAAAGAAGACCAGCCTGGTTTGGGGAACGGTTTCATGTTTGCACTGGCGTCACGCATTTGCATTACATCTTTTTTTATCAACGGCCAAAATGCCTCTTCCACTGCCCTTATCGTAATGCAGGATACGCAGCATTCAACACATAGTATCGGACATTGTCACTTGGTTTCTCCAGAAACTGGACTAGGCTTGGCCTGTCTTGGGTTTACAATGGGCGGGTCGCCTATGGACTGGCATGTCTCTCACATCATACTGTTGGCATCATGTCTGATGCCAACACCCACGCGTTCCATTTCTCTTCTGAGAACATTTTATGAAAGCGTGCATATTACCGGCTGATTTCAACCGATACAAGCCGGTTGGCGGAAACTGCTTCGGCCGGCTGCTGTCAAACCTGGATGTTAGATTTCGGGATGCAAAATCCTTGAAACAGTACATGGGAGGTACAAAATTCACACCATATGACGGGAAAAGTGGTGTCTAAAGATTTCGAGAACCGCGTGCCATTTTCATCTTCCTTTGCTTTCTCATCCGACGCCAACCGTTCTGAACGACTTGGGCTCAGCATGCATCCTTTTGAACACGAAAATGAGTTGCACACTTCCTACGGCCAAAGGTGAGGCAACTCCTTCCCGTCTGCATGGTGCCTTCTGTGCTCCCGCCGTTTGCTCTTTTTACTACTTCATGTTTATAAATTTTCGTCCCCGAACGATAAGAGGTGATTGGGGGTTAACACATGGCAAAGATAATGACCCCATCTATACTTACCGATGGCGTAAAACCTCACAGAATCTTGGAGAATGTGCGACCGGCAAGCAGAAGGAAATGACATGCAAATTAGGACCAAATGACCACAGTTTTTACGAACATCCCATAAAATAGATATCAGTGCTCCCAACGTTTGGTTCACAGCCTACCATAATGTTACTGCAATCCCCCACACGTGGCACGCGTGGTTACACCAGGATACTGCGATTGATTAAACGGCCACCACCAAGGCGAGCCGAACCGCTAGCCTCCGGAAAGCGGGCTTACCATGTCTAACGTCGCTGGCCCTCGTCTCATTCAAACAATTTTGAGCGATACATTTGTGATGTGAGGCGTTGCTTCGACTCATCCAAGTTGTGGGGACCACGAAGCACGCACCAAAGAATAGCTGGCAGTCGAGATTCAGCACAGACTCGCTGTACAATACATCAACACACCGAACAGTGAGAGCCCGCACACCGAAACGAGTCAGCGGATGGGAAAGATAGCTAGCTGCCGATTAGGCTTCCAGCCCTCAAACTATCGGCCCCGAGTTTTTCCGTCTCTCGTTGGTTGTTGGATAAACACTATCAAGACGTCTACGAAGGCCAAGCACGTGGTAATGACGACCACAGGTGCTACGTTCCTCAGGCCTGGCTTCATTTACCGACATAATCCAAACGACTACAGCGAGATGTAGCCATAATATGATACCATTTTATCATGTGGTTAACGCTTTTGTTTAAACAACTTCATGCATGAGCCTAGCACCTGGACAATATCCAAGCGCATGCACCAGAAGGACAGCGCTACAAATCTAGCAGTCAGCAATCCACAGTCAGTACTTCAATACATACACGCCTGAACATGACCTTGGATTTTGTTTGAACGTGGTAGGCGCGCATGGATATCTAAACAAAAACGCCTGCCACAACATCGTCGCCGTCCGCTCGCAACAACATCCATGCTCCAGCCGAGTGCATCATCATTACCTTGGTCAGTCCTGGCGGCTGCCGCAGCGGCGGCGGGACTGTGCAGGCTGGCCTGGTGCGCCGGGCTGGGCAGCGGCGGCCGGGCCAGCGGCGGCGGCGGCAGCAGCGGCGGCGGCGGCGGCGAGGCCGGCCCCACTAAGCGCGCCAGCCGCGGCGAGGGCCTGTGCACAGCTGGGTGGCTGAGCTGCGAGTAGAGCAGCGGCGAGACGAGCGGGTGCGGCGCGTAGCCGGCCGACAGCGCCGGCACCGGACACCGCTGCTCCAGGCCGCGGTACGCCATCGCCTGCAGGTAGTGCAGGTAGGGCGACTGCTGGCACGCCAGCGGGTAGCCGTGCGGCGGCGGCAGTGGCACCGGCAGCGGCAGCGGCGGCGGCAGCGGCTCGCTCGAGCCGGCCGCGCTGGCCGGCGGCGGCGCCGACGGCACGGGTGGCGGCCGTGGCGCCGGCCGAGACGGACTGCGGCCGCTCGGTGACGCCAGCAGCGAGTCTATACTGTACACGGAAGCGGGCGCACTGGACGGGGCGGCGCTGCGGGCGCGTTGCGGCGCTGGAGAGCGAGCGCCAGGCGCTGGAGAGCCCGCGCCCGAGGCGGTGGCGGTGGCCGGCGCGGCGACCGCCGCCGGCGAGCAGAGCCCGGCGGCTGACGAGGTTGATGCGCCGGGCACGGCAGCGGCGGGCGGCGGCGGCAGTGGAGCGCGCGCCGCGACCGGCTGGCGGCCCGTCGCGGGCGGCGTGCGACCGCTTGCGCGGCGAGGCCTGCCACGCGGACGGGCTGACCTTGCCGGCCTTGATGCGCACCGTGTGCGTGGGCCGCACGACCGGCCGCCGCCGGCGCTCCGCCAGCCGCGCCACGGCCGCCTCCAGCAGGGCGGCGCGACCGGCGGCGGACGGCGGCGGCCGGCGACGGCGGCGTGGGCACGGCGGCGGCCGCGGCGCCGGCAGGCTGAGCGCCGCCGTCGGCGGCCGCCGGCTGAGCCGCCGCAGTCGCGCCCGGCTGGCCGGCAACAGCCACAGACCGAGCGCGGCCGGCGAGCGGAGCTGACGCAGCACGGCGGCGGCGGCCGGCCGGCGCCGCGGGCCCGCCTGCTTCCGCCGGTACGGGTCCACCGGCCACGGCGACGACTGCACCGACGAGCCGTCATCTGCCAGAGACGTCCCAGTCGGTCAGCACCGGCAGCCGGCCGAGAGCAGCGCTCGCACGAGGCCGGCTGACGCATCACACGTAAACAACGGGCACCGCCTGCAGATCATGATGATGATTTGGGCTTTGGGGCGCACCGACTACGTTGGTCATCTGGCGCCCATACCGCCTGCAGATCAGCTGGGGGTTAACTATACGTGCTGTTGAGGCCAACCAATATTGGAACTCGATTGCTCGCGCCCACACACAAGTGGAACTGGACACGGACGTCCAGCGGCAGGCTGGCCACAGACGATATGACCAGTATTCTTCGGTGCGCACACCACTGCGTCCAACTGATCATCATGCATTTCAGATACACGCAGAGCTCTGGCACGCCGACAATAACGGGCAGACTCTCCGTCCTCACAATCCCGAGCGAAGTCCGCACCTAGGACACCTATTCGCCTGAATCGCACGCACGTTGGTCTGTAACACTGAAAGGCACACCGATTCCCACCGAGCCCCCACCCAGCCCCGAGGATCCACCCGCAGCGCCGCAGACTGTGCACGTCCCGGTCCGTACCGCTGAATGAGGCGACGTTCTCCATGCGCGCGCTGACGGTGGGCGGCGTCCAGTAAGTCTTGCGCGACACGGCCACCCAGCGCTTCTCCCAGTTCTCCAAGCCGTGCGATAACTCCAGCAGCACTCGGCCGTCTGGAAAGCGGACAAGGTCGCGTCAGACACACGGACAGCAGCAGACAGACTGTCTGGAAAGCGGACAAGGCCCTGTCAGACACACGGACAGCTGCAGGCCGACAACTGTCGCAGCCAGGCCGTCTGGAAAGCGGACAAGGCCCCGTCAAACACTCGGACAGCTGCGGAATAGGTTGTCCGTCCAAACCGGAGACGCCGGAATGTTCAGCACGTTCATGGACCCACAACCACACCCGGCCCTCAGATATCAGAAGCAACCCTGGTCTTATATATCATATATCGCGACTGTGGGACAAACGAAAACATGAGTTAATACCTTGAAAACGACCGATCTTCAATCCGACTGGATGCATGGGTTAGACCAAGTTTTCAAAACATCATTGGGATATATCATGAACGTACCAGACGTTTCCAGCACCACCATGGCAACTCGTGACTGCGAGCTACGATGAAACGATTGCGGCGGCAGGCCAGCTGACAACTGGCCAAAGAGTTAGCCTAGCCCGGGCAGCCATGACTAAGCATCGTGTGTGCCCGTGAACCCCCCGCAGTATGGCCTGGCGGAGGTACGAGAGATAATCGCTGGGGGGTGGGCTAGAACGGCCGTCTGGGTGCCAGCTTCAGGGCGCACGCGACGAGCTCTGCCAGCGAGCGCTCCAGCCCGACGCCACTCGTGCAAACCATTTGAAGTAATCCCCACACAAAACAGCGCATAGGTCAGACTCGGGCGTCCGACAGAGCTATCAGACACTCCGTGGATCGCACTCCGGATGGGAACTCCGGATCGCACTCCGGAATGCCGGGCGTCCATCGTCGACAAAGGCCAAACGGTCATTACAACATAGTGAACATATCACAAACGGCTTGAGACAACTTGAGACAGCTGAGTTTAGGACTGCTTAAACAGCTCATGCCGGGAATGCAGCTGAATGCATAAAAAGCGACACAACAATCAACTTGGACGCCGAAGGAAGGCCCATAAAGCTATGGACAGGCTTCCGCATCATTCTGAGAACTTGTAGGACCTGTACCGCACAGGCGCTAGAACATTAAACCACCGCAAATATGGTTTGTTCTGGGAAAACCAGACTGTGAGCACAAATTAATTCTATGAAGCTCTGCTTATGCACAAAGCACAGCTGAAACCTGTCTCACGGCGAACGAAGTGTTTGACATTTGACATTAGAGTGATTATCTGATCACCAGCAACTCCAAGCTGTTCCACACCAAACGGTCATTACAACAACTTTGCTTTGAGTTGATAGCAACCAGATAATCACTGAAATCACTGTTAATTACGCTGAAAGCAGCGTGCATTGCGTCAGCCACAGCTCGGTCCAGTATGACCATACGGCGCAAAACCACTACAGACGTACTTGGAATCATTACAATTGAATGCACCACTGACAGCGGCCCCACCCCGATCGAGTGGAACCTCAAACATAACGACTGATCAAAACGGAACCGACGCACTGCTTGAAAACGGACTTGACGCACCCACTGCTAACGTGATGGGGCACATAACAAAGAAGCATTGCGTGGTCACAACACGACCCATGGAGATGATGAACGCGACGTCTGCCTGAAGCGCGGTCGGCGCGATGCCTGAAGCTTGCCGCAGGCTTTAAGCCGGTCCCGAGGCGCTCTCGTCCATATGCATCCCACGGATCACCGGTCACGTGCACATAACGTACAGGGATGGTCGCAAACACGCCACCGACTTAGGCCAAGCGCCTGAGGTGCGACGGTGGCGTTACGGGAGGATAGTGAGCCAGACGCCCACCCTCGCAGCGCGGACAAGACTGCTTTGAAGGCGCGTGTGTGGGAACCATGGCGTATGCTGCCTGGTGTCAGTAATGGCAGCTAGACTAAGCAGTCATCTTTCCTACTATCGTGCAGTGCTGTAGATTAGCTCATGGGCTACACAGCTCACAGCATGTAACTTAAAAGGAAGCAATGGAGCATGACACACGTCATTTCACTTCTTAGCAAGGAAGATACTCAAGCCCAGCATAATATGGTATGAAAATAACCAAAATGTATTACACAATTCATTGGAGTACTAAGCACGCCACATCCCCGACCACCATGTATCCAACAATACCCCACCTGAATCGCTGTGGGTGAAAGACCCAGTACATCTTGGACGACACAGCACTTGGGCGAAAAGGACCTCCAATGGGTGAAAACACCATGATCATGCTGACATGTGAAGTGCACTTGAGCACAGCCTGCTTTCTTTACATCTGAGCTCATATCAAAAGCAGAAAGAAACACCTGAACACTATCAGTGCGACGCTGAGACAGATACGAGACTCCGCTCCACGTCCGCCAACCCACACACACCAGCGACTACAATGACCCACTCAGCAACCCCCCCCCCCTACGCCCCCCCCCCAAAAAAAAACAGTTCCTTGTCCCTGTTCCCCCAGCCCCTGCCGCGAAAAGCGGCGCTGTGCCCACCGGCAGCACCGCACCTTTGCCGTAGAACTTGAGCCGTCCGCCGGCGTCGGCGCGGTGCTCGGGCTCCGACAGCGGCGGCGACATGGTGGCCGACGGCGCCGGCGACAGCACGGCCGGCGGCGGCAGCTGCGTCAGCTCGGCCTCCAGCGGCGGCTCGGGGCGCGCCTTCAGCACGCGCCCGGCCGCCTCGGCCGCCGCGCGCCGTTCCGCCTCCGGCGCGCTCATCGTCTCCATCGGCTCCGGGCGCTCCTTCATGTCGCGCGCGCCGGCATCGCCTGGGGACGGCGCGCACGAGTGGCTCAGCGACGGCCGTTGGTGGAGAGCAGTGGGATGATGGAGAACACTGTGGCTTTATGGTTACGAATGACAGGTGGAGGAGCATCAGGTGACCAATGACACAGTGGGATGATGGAGAACCCTGTGGCTTTATGGTTAGGAATGGCAGGTGTAGTAGCATCAGGTGACCAATGACACAGTGGGATGATGGAGAACCCTGTGGCTTTATGGTTATGAATGGCAGGTGTAGTAGCATCAGGTGACCAATGACACTTATGTCTGTGATCATATGTCAATGTGCCCCCATGACATTGGCAGAGAGCTGCAGTATATTAAGAGAACTGCAAGAGAATGATGGGTACAGCATGCATGTAACAAATTGATTTCAGAAATGTTCCTAGTGCAGCATATCACATTCATCCACGACACTGAACCACGTGTGTCACTGGCATACTTGGAAT